GTAGGATATGAGTGGATTGGATGCATGTTGTTCTTGGACTGAAGTCAAACTGTGAAATTCTGTGGCTTTGTCGTGCCCTGTAATCATGTAACAAGTATCCATAAAATTCAGTGTTGACTTGCGTTCATTGAACACAAATGACACATACGTCTGCACAGGAAAACAAAAGCACATCGAATATTACATTCACTCATTGCCTTTAGCATAAACCACTAATAGAGCTATACAAACCAGAGGTTTCAATACCTTATACATATGTGACCCTGGACCACAAAACCAGTCAAGCCAAAAAACATTATTTTTCTTTTAAGCCAAAAATCATTAGGATATTAAGTAAATATCATGTTCCATAAAGATATTTTGTAAATTTCCTACCATGAATATATCAAAACTTAATTTTTCATTAGTAACATGCATTGCTAAGAACTTCATTTGGACAACTTTAAAGGTGATTTTCTCAATATTTTTTTTTTTTGCACCCTTAGATTCCAGATTAGATCAAATAGTTGTATCTCGGCCAAATATTGTCCTATCCTAACAAACCATACATCAATGAAAAGATTATTTATTCAGCTTTCAGATGATGTATACATCTCAATTAAAAAAAATTTACCCTTATGACTGGTCAATGGGTGGTCCAGGGTCACATATTAAACAGTTAAACATAACATATTAATGAGATTTCATTACTAACCAAATTAAATCCGTGAACTGCACAATCTCTTTTCAATTTCAGATCTCTGGCTGTGTTGTTTTATCAACAAGTCTGCAGGTACTGACATCGCTCACATGTTCTCCATCTGGTTGGCGCTGATAAGAACTTCCAAACGCCTTCTGGGTAATAGTCTTAAAAAGCTGGGATGTAATGTATTCTGGCTGAGACGGCCCTGCCGGCAGCCTGCATCTCCTGCCCTGCACAATCAGCTGTGAAGTGTGCGTTTGTCAGAAGCGAGCGTCTCTCTGAGACTGATGATTCACACTGCACCCCCATTTCAGAGAGAGACCGACAAAATGGCTGCTCTCAGGGCCAGAGGGGGAGCCAAAAATCGTCACAGCAAACTGAAAATTGTGGCAGAGATTGAATGGAAAGATACTGTTTCACGCTCCGGAATAAATCCACTTCAATTTAGATATCATGTCAGTTTCTGAATTGTTTGATGATCAAATATTTGCATATATAACAAGATTTTTTTTCACACTGCAGGAATATGGGTGAATCTTAATAAACCTGTCAAGAACTGGGATATGTTTCACTCCAAAATCAAAAGATTTAAATAAGAAATTACACCGTAAAACATCTAAATTCATGACATAACCTCTATTTTCTGGGTCATGAGCTACGGTTTATGCCCCAGGTGTCAACTTCGCAAGGTGCATGATGGGATGCCAGATTGTATAGATATTACATGCAGGGAGGCAGGAGGGGGTATATAACAGGACACAATGTACACGATTTAATTTTCCTGAAAGTCTCAATAACTTTCCAGGCTTTATGTAGTTTTATTTGTACAGCACTGCAAAGGTCATACATACACACTGGCATTCTTTAGATTTAAATCAACGACATCAATTGTATTTAGTAGCACATTCCTGTTTATTACCGTTATATACAGAGACAAAACGTGTAATACGGTTCAGCATTGCGTACAATCAGCAAGACAAAGAAGGCTGATGATATGTAATGCATTACACAAAAAAAGACTCCCATGCCCCTTTCCACCTCCTCCACCCAGTTGGCTTCAAGCGCCATGACGAAAGAAAGAACAGACGTCAGCAAGGAACGAGTACGTAGAGAGATTTCTCTCAGTCCCCCCTCCTTACATCTTCATTTTTGGTCAGACACATCTGTGTTTCTTTCTTTTTTTTCTTTTTTAACCCTTTTTGTAGTATACGTGTGACGTTGTGTTCTAAAAAAACATCTCCTGGTGTTTGCCCGCGTTCTGTTCTCTCTCGGAGGAGTTAATGACAGGGAAAATTAGAAAAGAACTGGAATTATATAAATGGCCGGTCATTATCAGCCAATCACAGCTGTCATATCAGCCAATACAGATAGATGGGGTGCAGAGTGGTAACCAATGGAAACACATTGGTTTGTGCTATTGTACTGGTGGTGCCTTAAAACACGATGCCTTGCAATGAGGAGCGATGGGATTTCTGTGGGTAAGGGCAATGATTTGCTGTTTAAGCGCTCCATGATCCTGTTAATGGTCTTCGGAAGGCATAACCGCACCCTTTGCGAGGAGAAGGGATAAGCAGATGCCATATACTTTTTTTTTTTTCTCTCGGTTTGACCCTTTCGATAAGCCTAGTTAATGATGCAGTGATGGGCTCACCTGTTCAGCAACAAAGGAAACGTTTGCTTTTTTTAGGAAACGTTTGAGTTTTTAGAGCATATTTGAGTGTGGGCTCTTTGAACCTGAAAAGAAAACTACCGTATTATATTTTCTGGAAAAAATATGAGTGGTGCAAAACTCTGTTGCTGTGTGATTGCTAGGTGAGAAAAGAGCCCATTGTCAAGTCTCCATGATATGTTCCCTTACAAAAAACTAAAGTTTATTCAAGTGTGCTATTAGTATACTTCTTTTAAACTAAAAAATAGGAGATTTAAATCAACGACATCAATTGTATTTAGTAGCACATTCCTGTTTATTACCGTTATATACAGAGACAAAACGTGTAATACGGTTCAGCATTGCGTACAATCAGCAAGACAAAGAAGGCTGATGATATGTAATGCATTACACAAAAAAAGACTCCCATGCCCCTTTCCACCTCCTCCACCCAGTTGGCTTCAAGCGCCATGACGAAAGAAAGAACAGACGTCAGCAAGGAACGAGTACGTAGAGAGATTTCTCTCAGTCCCCCCTCCTTACATCTTCATTTTTGGTCAGACACATCTGTGTTTCTTTCTTTTTTTTCTTTTTTAACCCTTTTTGTAGTATACGTGTGACGTTGTGTTCTAAAAAAACATCTCCTGGTGTTTGCCCGCGTTCTGTTCTCTCTCGGAGGAGTTAATGACAGGGAAAATTAGAAAAGAACTGGAATTATATAAACGGCCGGTCATTATCAGCCAATCACAGCTGTCATATCAGCCAATACAGATAGATGGGGTGCAGAGTGGTAACCAATGGAAACACATTGGTTTGTGCTATTGTACTGGTGGTGCCTTAAAACACGATGCCTTGCAATGAGGAGCGATGGGATTTCTGTGGGTAAGGGCAATGATTTGCTGTTTAAGCGCTCCATGATCCTGTTAATGGTCTTCGGAAGGCATAACCGCACCCTTTGCGAGGAGAAGGGATAAGCAGATGCCATATACTTTTTTTTTCTCTCTTGGTTTGACCCTTTCGATAAGCCTAGTTAATGATGCAGTGATGGGCTCACCTGTTCAGCAACAAAGGAAACGTTTGCTTTTTTTAGGAAACGTTTGAGTTTTTAGAGCACATTTGAGTGTGTGCTCTGTGAACCTGAAAAGAAAACTACCGTATTATATTTTCTGGAGAAAATATGAGTGGTGCAAAACTCTGTTGCTGTGTGATTGCTAGGTGAGAAAAGAGCCCATTGTCAAGTCTCCATGATATGTTCCCTTACAAAAAACTAAAGTTTATTCAAGTGTGCTATTAGTATACTTCTTTTAAACTAAAAAATAGGAAAGTATACTTTATTGTCTACTTTTTATGTACTTCTCAGAAATATACTTAAAATGACATTTAAGTATATTTGAATTATACTTAAAAAAAAGTCTAATTATATTTGAGCTATATTTTTGCGCCTAGAATCCGTGTTTTCATTGTTATACTGTAGGGGGCGCTAGTACACATCCTCTGTACAATATTTCCAAAAAAAAACACAAGTGAAGAAGAAACTGAAACAACAGATGCTTCCACATCTAACACGATCATCAGACATAAAACAGCATCAAAACTGTGTAACCTTATGGAATAAAATGTCGACCAATGAAGAGGTAATAATGACTGTCAAGCTTTGGGGTGTTGATCGACTCCATCTACGTTTTGATTATCATTCTGAATCCAATTCATAGTCTTTTTTTCAGCTTTTTGTTCAAAATGTTGTTTATTAATTTATTTTTTATTTATGAAACTTACCCACATTCAAGTGTTTAAAAAATAATGCATGAAGCCATAATACAATATTTTTGTTTACAAGTAGATACCAGTCTTTCTTTTGATGTTTTGTATGTTCAGATATTCATATAACAAAATATATACAAATACCTAAATAGGGACATAGTAGTATACTTAAAGTATGATGTAAAGTGCACTTAAAGAAAACTTACGAGTATACTTGCAGTATAAAACTACTAAACTAGTAGTTTACTGAGACTTTACTTCAACGTGTACTACAAGTATTTAATTAGTAAACTATCAGCATACCTATAAGTTCACTTTTAGTATAGTTGCAGTACCAGCTAAAAAAATGATGTAAACTAGTTGTGTACTCAATGTTTACTCTGTTATACTTAAAGTGTATTTAAAAGTATACTTTTATATACTAGAAAGTGGGCCAATTTAGTCCCAAGGAGTATTGAAATAGTACACTTACAAGTATACTACTTGTACACTGATATTTGTATACTTACTACATAAAGCATACTTAAATATATACTTGAACTTTACTTAAGTATACTTAATAAAATCAACTTGAAGTATACTACTTTTTGGTAAGGGTTAGCTCCTATATATGGTTCAGTTCCCTCCTTCTGTGGTTTTCTTCTGTTTTTCCTTTTCTTTTTGATTTAATTTATTATCCACCAGGAGAAAGGGGTCCATAATCGTAAAGGGCTATTCACAGAGCATGTTTTTGCATTTCAGAAACCAAGCCACAAGCAGTGGAATGGACAAAAAAAAAAGCAAGGTCTTGAGATTTTTTGAGTGCCACACTTTTAGAATGTCATATGCAAGACTACAAAAGACAAAAAACATAGGCCTGATGATCAAAGACATCCGTATAGCATGTTTAGAAAGAAAAATAATGGAAAATAGTGGAGTGCAATCTAAAATGCATTATTATGCATTATAACTCATTATGTGAAATATCGTTCATGCCTGTAGCTGAAATGGTGTAGGTCAAGTTATGAGCAAGAGTGACACTTGCTTTAGCAAATGCTACTGATTTTTACATTTCAGTCTGTTAACTTTTTGCTTTTCGTTAAAAAATAGCTCTATAGCTGTACCGATAAATGAGTTTCTTGCATGGATACTATTTATGTCTATTTTTGTGGTGTCTTCCATTGATTGTGTCAAATGCAATTACCTCATGGTGGAGTATGTGGGAGGATGTAGAGAAATGTTAACACGAATCTGACTGGCTGGCTGTTGGTTGTGCTCAGGCAAGGTGACGCAGGCAGCTCAGAGACTCATCAGACTGGGACAAGAGCTAGACGAGACGGCTGGAAAATCCTCCCTCAGGCCTGGGGATGCATGAACCAACCAGCCACCCGACCCCCACACATTCATAACGCCTTTTGTTATGATTTAGGCAAGAGGCCCAGCAAAAGATGATGCCCCAATACAGGCATTTTGATTGGATATTATTTTAATTATTCCTAATTAATGGTGTTTGCTCAGACAAGCATCATTGTCCTTTTACTCATACTTAGGGTTAGATGGTTTTTCAACTCACTAACCTTGAGTACTGAACCCTGGTGTTTATCTTGTGCTGCAATGTTGGTGCTGCAGACATGAATAAAATGTAAAATAATGCAGAGAGGTTTGTTATTACATTTCTGAGTGATCAGAGTTCCTGATGGATAATAAAACAGGTGAAAAAATGCCATAGGCAAGGGGTGCCCAGTCTTGTTCCAGGAGATCTGCTATGCAGCAAAGCTCCAATCCTGATCAAACACAACTGAACCAGCTAATTAAAATCTTCAGGAGCACTTAATAATTACAGACAGGTGTGTTGGAGCAGGGCTGGAATTAAACTCTGCAAGGTGTTCCTCCAGAAATAGGATTGGGCACATATACTTATAGACTTGCTGAGCAGTGGTGTGCGGTGGTGTCCTGAAATGAGGAGGCAAAGTCCTCAAAGTTATTTATTATTTTATTTTTTTAATCAAATGTAAATTAATTTCCCATTCACATTTTCTTGGTTAAAATAAACATTACTTAGACTATCAAAAAAAAATCTATTTCATATTTTTACTTTAACAATGTATTCTATTTATTAAAGCCAAGTATGAATCTCATCAAGTTAGTGTTTTTAAGCATTTTAGATTTATTCCAACATAATAAATCAAGGCAGTAACAATTTAAACCATATATTTTATTTGTAAACTTATGTTCAGCTATTCTTTTTAAGAGTTAACTTTTAAAGGGGTCATATGATGTTGCTAAAAAAAACATTATTTCTTTTATTTGGTGTAATGCAATGTATGTACACGGTTTACGTTAAAAAAAACACATTATTTTCCACATACTGTACATTATTGTTTCTCCTCTATGCCCTGCCTTTTTGAAACGCGTCGATTTTTACAAAGCTCATCGGTCTGAAAAGCGTGGTGTGCTCTGATTGGCCAGCTATCCAGTGCGTTGTGATTGGTCGAATTCCTCAAGCGTGTGACGAAAATGTTACCAGGTTCAGGAAACTTTCCTCCGTAAAATCCGCTGCACGCACTTGAATATTTGGGTTGTACTGTTCTGGAACAGTGTTGTAAATAAAACTTAACCTCTGATTTTTAGTTGTGTCCTCTTTTGGAAGGCCAAACAAAGTAGTTTGGCTTTCGCAAAGAAACACACTGCGTCTCTTGCATGGTGGCGGCAACAATACTAGAGCAAGAATAAAAGTTACGCCTTCTTTCTTTGCGTATACATTTGGGCAGTGTTATGCAAATCTTCCCACATCGTGATGTAGACATGTGGGGGCTTGTTTGAACGAGGCGTGGATGAGCGTTCACTTTTATATAGAATATCTCTTTGGGTTGGAGACTTTAAACTTTGCGATAATAATAATTAGATTTCTGATGTGATCTCTAATTAAACACACCTGAACCAGCTCAAGGTCTTCGGGATCACTAGAAACATCCAGACAGGTGTGTTGGAGCCAAACTCTGCAGTAAAGTGACAATACAGGAGCTGAATTTTGGTGACGGTTATAAAAGTAAAGCATGTTTAACCTTGTTAATTCAGTATGTTCTTCCATAAGCCAGCCATTTATGCAAGTGCCATTTATTTGTGGATAATAGAGGTCTGATTAAATCATTATAGAAATGATGAACCATTTCCTGTGGAGATTGAAGTTCACTTCATATGTAGATGAAATGTAGAATTCAATTTGTCATCAACATCAAAGACGTCTATAAATATAGATTCAATCAAGGCACTGCATAATGACTTCAAACAAACCGCATCAAACGCAGTAAAATTCAGCAGCCTGTGTTAACCAGCCTCAAAAACGAAGTGCAGCCCACATGTGGGGTTTGCGTTTCAGTGTGATATGTGTGTCAGATTTTGTAGGGTTAATGTTGCAGTCGTTAAACTTGCAGTAGCGTGCTGTGTTTTGTACAATAAATTGTAGCAATGAAAAAATATCCATGGTTGCAGCTAGGCATAGCATGGGTCGGTATGAGATTTTGACCGTATGATAGCCTTAAGCAAAGAATATCATGGTATTGTTGTGACTGACTGTTCGCAACAACAGGAGGGGAAGGGGTCGTGTTACTCTCTACACTGCACTCAATCTGAGGGATGAGGAGACATGAAAACAGTGCATACCACAGGAATGGTATAACATACAATGTTAGTGGTTTTGAAACCGTGAAATTTTTAAATCGCGGTATACCTTGAGACCGATAATCGGCCCATGCCTACTTGTAACCCTCAGTATCAGCATCTAACCTTAAAGTAGCAATGGAACGGAAGTAGCAACAGATTTTTTCCTCTGTTTGGTGGCATACATGTAAGTGAAGCATATTATCGGAAAGGAACCAAGTCCCTGCCCTACATTTTTTTTTTTTTTAATCCATCGGTTGCTGTTTGGATAAAGACTGATTTGAATGTGAGCTTGAGATCAACTGTAAGAAAGTGGCGGGGTTTCAAGACAAAACAGACAAAATAATTGGAGTCCGAGAAGTCTGTCATTTCACCAGAAGACTGAGTTATGATATTTAGATTATAAATAATTAGGTTTTAATATTTAAAATAAATAAATAATTAAAACATGCATGGATGAATCGTTCACAATAATATAAATAGCATGCACTTGAAAAATAGATAGGGTGATGATTTTCTATTTTATGCAAACTATACTGCCCAAAAGTGTCAGCTGAACCAGTCTATAGATATTATGCAGTCTGTACTGAAAGTTTCCCTATATGCACATATTAGCAGAAAGATAATTTTCAGCGTTACCTTATATAGATTTGTTTTACAATGAGGGAATTTCACTTTACTGAAGAATTCACACCAGTACTCTTAATGAGAAGCATTAGAACATATCAAACATTTACAAAATTATATTTCAGTAGAGAGAAAATGCTATCATCTAAGAGAAGAGACAGAAACCTGAAAGTAATGTGATATGATGGTAGTGGTCAGATTGAGCTACTTGTGTGAATAAGGATCTTGAAAAGCAGTACATCTGCTATCTCCGGCAGCAGCTGGGGGGAGTCATGCTCCAGTAGCCCCTCACAATGGTGAGCAGATTTAGCGGCGCTCCAGCAGGAACACATTCAACTCACGTCCCCCGGCACGACAATGGCCTCATCATTGGCCGCATCAGTCTATTGACGTGTGCCTGCAACCCTCAGTGCCCATCAAACCTGCCAAGAGAATCTATGGCTTTTCACAAATCTTTTTCAGACATGCTGTCTCTCGCTCTCTCTGTTATAGCAGAAGTATTAATTCCTCTGAAACATTTCAGAATTGAGAAATTGTGATTGATTTTCAGGTGGATGCTTTCTGTTTATTAACTGCATGGTAATGAAGGCTCATCACTTGATTGGCATGTGTGAGTAATGAGTTTAAGGAGTGAACACGTCGATTAGTGTATTGGTTACTATTGGCTAGGTGCACAAGATGGCGACGGTGAGTTTCGGCGATGCGAGTGTGGGCATGCTTACTTCCGGTCTTTGCGACGTTCGCATTTACCTTTAAGGGGAAAGTTTCATATGAAATTTGGCTAGATAGACATAATTAATGTTTTTCTAATTAAATAGTGGGTAGTGGTATATCAAAGACAAGAGAAAACATCCTCCTTACATTATTGCTTACCTCTGTGTGGAAATCCATCAAGATACAACACAGAGACGCTCAGAGATTTCTGCATTATGGACTCAATGTATGTTTTATTAACTTTATTTGGTAACCTTATCTATAACTGTGTCTGTAGCAGGTTTGCATTCATTAAAAGATAGGTGTTTGTGTTTCCCTGTGCGTTTTTTATTAGTATGTATCTGTTTTGTGAAAATGCATCTGTTGCATAAATCATTATCTGTCTGGTGTCTATTAGCAGCGAATTGTTTGCATTAATTAACAAATAAAACTAATCTTTAAATTAGTCATAAGTATTCATAAATTTTCATCTATGTGTCATCTATACATGTATAAATGTAAAATAGGCCTAAAATGTCTTGTGAAAATGTTGACGGAACAAACTGATTTATATGCAGAATTGAAAAATTGATATTTATGCAAATCAACTGATGTCTCACAAGGCAAATGCATTTCAGTTCAAAAATGTCAATGTAATACAAACAGTTTTGAGGAATAAGTAATTTGTACATTTACATAAAGGTAAGGGGAAAAGACTGTGTAGCTTTGTGTGCACACCATGAGTTCAATTCAGCTTTTATTTCCGGAACAGTATGGGTTAGTGTATTTCATTAATTCACCTGACCCAAACATAGTTTCAAATGCCACTGGCTCAATTAACATTTATAGTACAGTAATAATAGCAATGTAGATCTTAGTTGCATTTTAAGTGATATAATAAATCCTGTAAACATATATAGAAGGTAATATTTGGATTTCTCTGTCTCTTCACTGGCG